TACTGTACATGTCGCTTAACTGTACTATACTTGTTAGGGTCATATAGCAACTAGACACCTGATGGTATTGGCGTGCAGCCACTTGTATTATCAAACGTGGAAGTCCTATTACTTCGTCATGCTGAAATGAGTCGATGAAAGTTGACTTTGAACAAGCAGGATGACAGGTGCACGATTAGGGAACACAGAGTCAATTTAGCAGTCCAGCTGATCAAGGTGTCTGGGCATTCGAACTTAGCCTGTGCCGGTTTTCGGGGGAACAGTACGTTGTTTCGATGTTCGGTAACAGGTTAATTTTCACCATATCTGTTGAGCGCCCTAATAAGGATCTCAACAGAAAAAATCGGCCAGGCGACGCAACGGAAAACTTCCTAATTGGGACGAGTGATTGAAGCATGCTCGTTGTGTTCCAAACCGTATAATGTAAAAACACATGCCATTCGGTATAAGAAGATCAAATCAAACGGAAGTGCGCATCCTACTTTCAGTACTCAGGATCACCCTAACCCTCATTTGAGCTAATTCCAGATGGAGTTCCCTCCTCTAGGAAACAGCTCATCCCTTGAAGAGATGCTCCCGGGATAAGATGAAGACAAACATGATCAGAGACTTCTTGATATAATTACTTGTTTTCAGTGCTAATAAAGCTCATTTCAAAAAGGTGTTTCATTTTTCTACCCAGCTGCCAGTGTTTTGACTACCTCGTGGATAGCCACGACACCAGTCTAGCCCTGACCGCCTTTACCCAATTTCTGACCTTCTGTCTCCAAAAGATATCTATGGGCACCGGTCAACTGAGGATGCATTGCAATACCATCAAGGGCTCCTGTTGAATTTCACACCTAAACCATACAGTTTGTTCCGATTACTTTCCACTAAATCCTTTCAGCAGCTGGAATGTCAGTAGAGTTCCCCCAGATAGTATGTATTTCCCACAGAAAGAAGCTGTTCATTCCCCCAAAGTTGCAACACATGCGCAGCACAAAAACTTAGTGGTGCGGTCTACTGAGATAGCGAAAGACTACACAAATCAACGTCGGCATAGATCTCAAGTGGTGGATGGCTTGTTCGATGCGTTGGATAATTTGATTGCCCAGACCCATCAACGAGGTGACGCCACCAGTGCGCTGTTATGGGGCATAACACTTTGTCAGCGCTTGTGCGTTGAGTAGTGGTGCGTGTGGTAACAACATTGTTAAAACCAAGAGGGACAGTGTGATACACCAAATCAACCACAACACGTTCTGTGCTGGACAAACTGGGAAGGAATTACGTACACGAATAAAAGAGCGAGGCAGCAATCATAAGACAAGACTCTATCCTTTGACCTCCATACATGAACATCAGGGTCACAAGTCCAATCTGAAAGACATAGGAATCTTGGCACGAGACGGGGAAGAGAATTTAAGGAGGCATAATATACTACACCGGACTCCATCGGCCGACACTTCAACCGGAATATTCAGAACCGAATATCGGATTAAGAAAGAACAATAAAACAGGAGCTCCTTGGAATCACAAGAAAACCAGAGTGGAACGCACATAGGTCAACCGAGTGCCGAACAGTGGACGAGATCAGCGGCTGCCAAGCTCAAAGGCCTTCCAATAAAACCACACGGCCGAACAACCAATCGTGATCGGAGATAAGCTCGGGACTAGCGGTGCATACACTGACGCATACGCACCACTGCTCATCGCTGACGCACCGCTACCTTACAGCGTAATGACGTCACGTCAATGGGTGATGCGGGGTTGACAAATTGCGCAACTCAGTGAACAGTCCAACGACCCTTTACGCTACCTGAGTTACCAACACCTCCTTGACAGCGTAAATACCAAATGCCTATAAATTCGGCTCCATGGCAAGTTTCAGCAGAGGTATGACTCATGCAGAATATTGGGTTTCAGTCTTGAACCGTCATAATATACCCGTGATTATTGAGTCTTATCCTAAATGGCTTGTATTGTTTGCAAAGCATGCAACTGTTTAATCTTGCAGTTTTGCATTGAGGAAATTCTCCAGCTGCAAAGTACCGAAAGTTCTCGGGATCGACAAGGGTCACTTTCTTGGTGAGTGGCACTATAATCAGACATTGCCACGCTAATCCCTGCCAAAGTGGACAGGTCGATCAGGCAGGCACAGGCCCCGAGTTCCCGTCAACCATATGCATTACTTGAACCAAATTCATCATCAGCCGGGTATCACCACACGAAAAAGATCCGAACGGTCTGAAGCGGTACCTCTGACCGGCCACGGAAACCTAAAGAATGATTCAAAGAGTGACTGCTGATAACTAAACTAAACGTGCCATGTCATTAAGCATGAATTGATGTACTAGCCCCAGAATCCGGTGTTTTGGTCCGACTCGAAAATAACTGTCTTTGTATAATATATAAAGTACTGGTTCCGTGTTGATGCCTCTGGTGAGTGGTTCCGGACTGCAACAAGTGCTGGTGGCTCCAATAGTATAAATCCGAGCACCAGGCGGTTCGCAAAATTAAGTCCAAATACACTGAAGCAGTTTCGTACAGTCAGCAAAATTCGGCGTGACCTACAGGACGCAGTTGAGGTATACAGGATGAACACCACACGCAGCCACTTGTGCGCCTGATCAGCCGCAGACCACGTGACGCCAATACGAGTGTTTTTCGAACGTTTCATCACTCATTGCTTAATCACTTTTCTTGCTTTAGCTCTGCGTCAAAGTTTTGGATAAACAAAGCGTAGTTTCCGGGCACTCAGTCTGATTGTCGTGGCACCCCAAACCTTGCCGAGCACAAGTGTTAACCCTAACAAAAGCAAGTTGTCTGTGCCATAGATCACCCACCCACTGGACAACTACGCGTCTCATCTGACTAGCGGTCGTTCAGAAAGTGCAATCAGAATTGACGCAGACTACCACCCTTCACCACGGAGATCTCAGGGCCAGTAGGAAAATTTGTTGCGGCCGAGAGCGGACATGAAGCTCCATAAGCCAAAAAGACCAAGCCACGGTGAGAATCTGCGAAGAAAACTACCCGTAGAACTGTGTTAGACGCCAGAGGTAGTGAAGCCACACAAGCTAACGAAGATAACTTCTTCAAACGAAAAGACACTGGGATGAGACAGGCGAACCACACGGGTAACTTTACTGGACACACAATTACCGCAACAGTATGGGGCCGCAATAAGTGGTCTAGCCGAGCCTTATTACGGGATTTCCTCAGGCAGCATGCATCATAAACTGAACCATGTTACGCTGCAACGCTCACGGCGACAGAAGGTACTGGTCCCTCGGTCTCTTAGTTTCAAAGACGAAACAATTAGTTATGCCCCTTTTGACCCTATTGAACAAATTGTTCTGTCAGGCTCCACCGCGGTGTACAAACGATGTTAGAGTATTCGCCCCACTCGAAAATAAACAGGGGACTGCACGACTGTTTCATACTAGCGAGTCGACACACTACAGACTCCTCACCGCGTGCCTACCGGCAAGCAGATAACTGTCACGTGAATATGGTTTTAACGTACCTCTCTAAGAAAAGAATGTCTCAGCGAGCCTGAAAACCCAGACATCCCTATGTGAGTTATTACCTGGCGTGCACACAGGGCTAGATACTAGCACCCGAGAACTAGCAACAAATTGTCAGTCCCCTCACCCATCGGCGACGAACCAACCTAGGTAGAACGCCCCGGTATCGGTAGGAAGCCGAGATGAAAAGACACGTGCACTGTTGCGGGATGTTGTGCGAGGAAGGTTAGCAGATGACGGAATCATCATCAAAAACAGATCAGTGTTGACACTGATGCTTCGCTGCCGTACAGAGAATTCCGACATCCTAGAGGGTTCCAACAAAATGCTCCGTCTTACTGAGCCTGAACAATCAAAATACTACTGCTGCGTAATTGCGGAGCAACCTGGGAGTTGTGAGGTCATTATCTGAGGAATTGAAGATATCCGGTACGCTTTAGCCGCAGAGTAGGATATTTGCTGATAGTCGAACAGCTTGATCATTATACTACCATTGCTGGAGAGTATTCCGCAGCGGGAAGTAAACGTTTCGATTGTACAGTTACGTAAATTTGACGGTTCGAAGTGAACCATGCTCAAAAAGCCAGTCTCCACAGATAACTTTAAACGGCCTAAAGCACCAACCAACTAATTTCGCTTGACATCGCCCACCCAGTTGCGCCTTGTCTGAACGTCACTCACCGACAAGGATCATTGATGAACAGCAGAAATTAACGATTTCTACTTCGGGGTGTGCTGCGCTTACACCTGAGTGAGATCATATGGGTCGATTTGATAAAATAAAAGGCCCCACTGGAGTTTGTATAACTATATGAAGTCGTACTCCGGCTATATCCAGTCCATGTTAGAGAAGCGAAGTAATTTAACATGATTACCCATCGCCAAGTGTTTCGGCGCGCCAACTAAAGCACGCTTGGGGTAATCGCCCAATAAGCCATGTCGGCACATATGCCTGCTGTTGCATAAGCCACCCCAGACCGTTGGCGATTTTGTGCAAAATCCAAATATCAATGGCGTCCATTCCAAACCAAATAAATCACCATGTGAATAATACACTTTCCCAATTAACACTTCAGGATGGGGCAGGGAAAGGAAGGATTAGAACAAGCGAACCAGATAGAACTCTACAAGTGTTGCATGGCTTGATGCCTGCAATACACGTACATAATCCAAGTGGAGAGAGTGCAGAAGGGTTGGATGGAACATTGACAGTGAGTAAAAAATAAACCAAGAGGCACAGCCTGCCCAGTTCTAATAAAAGTGTTTTGACGACGAGGCGGGACACTGGAATTGAAAAACGGAGTGAATGTGGCTGTTTGGTTGGTTGTCTTCGGCATGCGGGGAGGAGAAAGCACGACAAGTGGAAGGCGGGACCGCGAGTCAGAGCAAGTAAATGATGCGCTTGTGTCAACAATCAACCGAGAGATCGAAGAATGGGATGGCTCAGGACATGACACAGCTGATGCGCAGTATGACTGGTTAGTCGTATCAAGGTCTGACGATAGAACTGCCTTCCATCGAATCACACATGCACGCAGGAACCAATGACAAGGAAATCAGTTCCATAAACACCGAATCATAATCGGAGGATGGCCTATAATACAATAATGACGAAGTCACAGAGTACTAGTGGCCCAGGATTGTCCACGCGAAACGAAGCGAGTACAAAACACCATGGGACCACTTGGAATATGTCTGTCAGAGCGTGTGTACAAACGAATCAGGGTTACGCAAGCTGCGTTGTACAAAGGCGATGGATAGTATGTATACAAGTGCACTTGCCAAGTCAGAAATCTCGGATAGGTTTGTTTGTGTGCGGGAGAAGTCACTTATTCCGAATGGGAATATGTCCAGAGACGGAATCTTTGGGGTTACTAGACTTTGTCCAACAGTCCAAAGCGTCAGTCGATATAACCTTTTTATCCAATAAGGATTTTTGCCAGATTTCAGTGGAAGCTGAAAAGAGACGAAGGTATAGAATAAGTAAACATGAGAAAAAGGCTGTGCATGTCACTGGAGTGGTACAGAATCACCCTCACTGCGTATCCTAACATAGATCAAACTACTTGACACGGACTGAACATCGCAAGCAATGTACTGCATAGATTGAGCAATCAAAATTCACCAGAAGAGCTGTGTACAAAGCTTTTGTCCATAGCTCCATTCAACGCCCAATAGTCCGAAGGGAAGAAGTGCCGCTTTATTCGTGTCCAAAATTCTTAGTGCTAGACCATATCGACCAGCCTTAGTTTAAGCGTAACCATCAATGACGGGCATTTTGCTCAGATACGCATCGTTGCTCAAACCTAACTTCATGAAACAAGAAATGAACCCCGGGGAGCTGCTTTCAGGTAGCAACCGATCCCAGTAGCGCGTATACCAGATTGCCTAGCGCCTGCTGTTGTGCGCTGGCCTTAGGTTAGGAGAGGTGGGTCGATCCCGCTGACAGCGCCTTGCTATGATGCTCAGAAATGTTCACTTCAATGCTCTCAAAAGGTACCTTAACCCTGATTGGCCCCCTCAGAAACATGAGGCTTCTTCGAACTAAGTCCCGACAATCACCTTTCGGAGTGCAAGCCTTATTTATTCAACAGCTGGAAATGGTCAGCTCAAAAAAACAGGGACGGATCAACTGGGATAAACTACGTCAAAACCTAGAAGACAGAATTCTAATCCAAGGATGACAAAAACTCACTTCCGCTGTTAGAGCACTCGTGGAGGGCCTGAAGAACCTGTAGTTCTCGGTCAGGATTATGATCAACCAGAATGCCAAGACCGGTTACCCGATTATCAATTTGCTGACGCGATAGTCCTACATGCGGGAGAAAAGTGTTGAAGGAAAGCGGGGTAAACACTATAGCATTAACAAGACAGCAAGGCACGTAGTCCGGCATAAGGGAGCGAGCAGCGGGGATGCAGACTAGCCTCTTGAAAATTCAGACTCGTTAAATTCGCTGATTATTCAAACGGCAAAATTAGTGTCAACAAGGACAGTCAAGCTGGCTATTCTCGAGTTTCTATTGAGCAGGTGATAACACACTGCATCGGTTTAGAGACCTACAGCTTTTCAAGGTAATGATCTCGATCAACAGCTGTCACCTTGACGTGATGGTTCAGCCTAATTCCGGCAGTGATCTCGTAAGCTAGACTGTTCAGGATCTGGCTATTGGAGGTTCAACGGTATCAAGGCCAAAAAAGAGCAATCAGACAAACAGCAGAGAGCCTCCGTACCAGGGGTAATTCTGATGCGAGGTTTGGGAGTGGAAGCGACGGAAACGTGAAGGCAGTGCACGTGTTTGCTGCGGGCGACTAGCATGTCCATATGTTGTCGCCTTCCAAAGAGAAAGGCCGTTAGGAAAAGTCCTGTCTAAAAGCTGCACACTCTAATCGCCCAACCAATGACCATGACCATGGCCCATTATTCAATAAGGGTGAACATTTAGAACAACTTTTCAATCCAGTTGTGTGGATCTTACAGTACGGGACCGCGGATACTGTGAGGTGACAATTTAGTCCCAGTGCGAACAGACATTCCGTGGTTAAACGGTCGTAAAATTTAAGATGGTTCTAATAAATTCGTTTAATTTCGGGGTCTGTGAAACTGGCTTGGTAAGTTGGTCATCAACCCACTAGGGCGGCCTTGTTAAGCGAAAGCGACTGCGGACGACCGTACGCTGAGCACCCAGTGTTAGAACGGGAGCGATGGTCGGTTACTGATTCAAGACATTGATAACTAATGGCGGTATAACTAAAGTCCATGGTTGGCAGTGTTGGAGGGGGGATTACCCGACGACAGTTATTCCGGAATTTAGCACTGCATGAAAACGGCTTGTGGTGGTGTATGTACGTGCCAATTTCAATCCAACGCGCTAGGTTTGTCCATTCGTATATTCAAGCCCGCGAAAGCCGAAAAGACATCCGGAGTTGTAGCTCGCCGTAATGGGACAGTCAACGTGTCGCAAAAGTAATATTTGACGGTGTCAGAACTAAAGGCGATTAGGGCATACACAAACACGAAAGAACATGCGACGATTAACCTCCCATTCGTGAGGTTCTTACAGAGACGTTAGATTCATGGGGGTATACATCGGAGGCACCCTAAGGTCTCCAACTACTGCAATCAGTATGTGTGAATGTCAGGAAATACATAAAACCTTTAACACGAATGTGAGCGTTGCTTTACCGGGTGCTTCCCGAACCGCAACCAATCGATAAACTCAAACTGGTCACATAAATGGGGACTTCGCGTTCAGGAATGCTTCTCTTTTTGGATAATCGGTATGAAGTCAGACTGTACTCTCGTTTGTGTTGCAGCTTGTATCCCAGCAGCTGAGGCGACCATTCATCGCCTGCAATATTTTGTTGTCGGTGAAGTTTACCAGCAATAGCAGCAGCAGTTTTGCTACCGCTAAGCAAAGTGGTTGACCGGATTTAGATTAGTTCGAAATCTGAAACACTGATTTCGACGTTCAACTGTGTACGTCCCAAAAATAGACATTCTCGATTAAGGCAAGGAAGATTGTCCCACGTGGACGACGCACGAGCTGAAGTGTCGAGACTGATAGGGAGAAACGGACAGAGACCATTCCAGGTTTCACCGCCTCATTCGTTGGCTAAGCACTAAGAACAAGTCAGATAGCACAGTGTCCAACGCACCAAGAGCTTCACATTTGAATTGATGAAATCAAAGTATTCGGATCACGATTGTTCTTCCGTTGCCTTGTATAGACATGAAGGACTCGTTCACAGTGACAAAACTCATGCGGGACATAAATGCAATGCAGAATCATGTGGCCCAAGTTCGCCAAGGAAAGAATTCAAGGCAAACAAGTTGTTTCATGTGCAACATGGAAACAACTACATTCTCCGTTGTCAAGAAGACGGGGCACAAATTCACTGTCACGGATTATGACAGACGGGATGTGGGGAAACCGGGAACCTAAGCCAAACACTTCAGAATGAAAATGCTAAATCCCTGGTTGAAGAGCGGATTCCAAGGGGCATTTGAAAGTCAGGAGAGCCGCAGTCTTCGAACATTTCATGCCGACGACTGAGGGCTGCATGAGCGAAAAAGTGCATCTAACGTGTTCTAGTTCCGTTTCGTTTGAAACTCGTTATAATTCTGCTTGCATACAAGTTTCCTAAACTATCGCTACCACAGACTGGATTATCCGTACAGCCAACAGTTAGACAACGGACACCTCTAGTGCCCACCTTACTGATCCTAAATTAACGCTCTCCGCACACCCATCAGTGCCATCCCAGAGGGGCAAGAGCTGTGATTTTGATTGTAGGACAGTATATCCACAAAAGGGGGCGAGATCGCGAAGGTGGTTAGAGCGAGAACTTACTGACCAAAAGGTCCGTGGTTCGAATCCGACCTCCGCCACTCGACTTCCCCTATCTAGGCTTGGGCAACTTGGCAGTATCCCAGCCCTCGTGCTTCCTTCGGGTGGCATGGCAGCTAGGCACCGGAAGGGTGCTACAGCTGAACGCATATCCACAAAAAGTACTTTTCGATAGGGGGTGACCAGGTTGGAGGTTCTTAGGGGAGATGTTATCTCTTATAATGCAGATAAGCTGGAACCGAACCACTTCGCCCTCTTCTGTGGAGCGCACTTTCTTGGATGAGAGCACTCTATTTATAGTTTTTGCCTATCATCGAATAGTGGCAACATTTAGTTTGGCCCCACAAGACTTTACCTCAAAAACTCAGGTACCAGGCATCTCAGATTAACAAATAAAATGAAGGTTTCTGAACGACGGACCTCATTAAACAGTTCGAAAATCTCTGAAGCAGTTCAGGAATGTATCTAGGACGTACTGCAATGCCTATGGTAAGTTCGAGTAGATTGGAAGTACTGTTGTCTTCCGTACCCACTTTAGGTTATAGGGTTTTGGCAAGGCGGAATGGCATCAATGCGAAAAGTTCGGGTACTGTCAGCTTGAACAATCTTCCCGGAGTTCCGTGTAAAGTTTAGTGTGTGGCAGCTGGTATATGGTATGGCTGTTAATCGACATGAACATCTCCACCCGAGTCGTCTGAACAAGTGTCAGATGTATGTACCTCGAGATGCAGCATTCAAACTCTTAATAAAAAACAAGTCTCCTGGAATACATTAGGAATGAGGTGAAGCATTGACATCAACAACAGTTTTTTTCTGCCGTTGATGGTAATACACCAAACAGACGCAACGATGTGCAAATCAGTAAGAAGGTACGAAATCTTACCCTTGGATTTTGATATCAAGGTTCTTGCGCATGAGCGAACAAAACCACCGGGTAACTCCGGTCTGCACAAAGATTTGAATAAACTGGTGAACTGCTCTAAAGACGTGGATGGAGACGCAGCAAGATCGGTGAGTTCTTTGAGTTTCATTTCGAGCGGATGTGGGGATAAAGTGAATTCCACAGAATGCCGTTTCACAAAGTTTTCCACATCGGCTGCTGGCACGCCTAGTCTAGACCATTCTAATCGCTGAGCGTGGAACTTAGCCGCAACACAATCTGGACCCAGACGGGAAGCACTTAGGGCAAGACAGTGAGCAAATATTGAAGCGCCCCGTCCCTCAGATTTCAAGATTTTCAACACTGATAACAGGAGAATAAAATTATCCTGATCCTTCTGAATTAGGTGTTGGAGAATTTCAGCAAGATACCGCCAACCATGAGGGTAGTCCTCTAGCCAATCGCCCGTGCAGTTAGGAAGATATCGGTCAAATCTGGAACAGAAAAGGTAATGGTTACAAAGACATTGTGCAAAAAATCAACCAACAGATTACATATTCCGCGAAGAAAAACATTCACAGATTTTGTTTGATTCACAGGATTTCCGGAGATTTTGGCGGACAGTCAGTAGTTCAGCAGTACGCGTGTTTAGAATTAGGACACAAATCGCAACGTGTTAGATGGCGGACTAGAATTTAGGATTTGCTACTAAAACCGAATGTTCAGAGGATACGTTCAGGGAATAAAAGAGTTCTTTCGAACCAACCGATAATGTCAACCCGAACTACCACACAGCTGCAAAACATATGGAGGCCTTCATGGGATCAACAACTGCTCACACCAGTTGTCGGACTTTTCGATACGCTACTTCAGCTTTCATAAAGAAGCCATGAGATAACCTTGTTGCTAGCGTGAAAACCACCATATGCAGTATCGATCCATCACGACCGCACCAAAACTGGAATGGAACAGTTCTAACGAAACCCAAACCTTATTTGCACTGCGTGGCAAATCTGCGGAGGTGGCGGCGTAAAGAGTGTGCGAGTGAGGGGACCTGGTGCCGGACTATGTCAAGCATTCTGAGGTGCCTACACCTCCAACAGCTCAACCAATCTGGAAAGAAACGGACAGCACGAACGCCACTGACATTGATTAGCCGCCACTTCTTGCAACGTCTCCAGCCAAGCACAGACAGGGTCACGGAGACCCATCCTGGAAGGCGTACCACACCAACAACACCTAAACTCTTCGTAATTTCTTTCACGCCTTTCTGCCAAATCATGCGCTGTTTACCTCGAGGTCTGCGCCATCCTGGGAACAACACTCGTCTCAGTAGACGATGTCATGGTGAAGCCGAAGAATGTACACCACAAAGCAAAAAACTGTTGTTCGTAACGACATTCTATTCAGAGGGGATAGAATACGGCGGAACTAGGTGGTGCGAACATCTACAAAAACCCCACGAAAGAACTAAAGACAAGTGGTTCCCTGGTATGTGAACGCATCTATCATTCGAGCAACGTACCCAGTCCCAACACAACCAAAGTTAGCCTCGCACGCAGATATTTCATGACTTCACGACGGTAAAACATAGAAAGTAAAAGTGGAAGAACAATACCGAAAGCCACCGTAGCAATCACTAGAGGATGACTACAAACCGTCCGTGAAGTGAAATCACAAAATCGAACCAGATCAAGGATATACGTCTTTCGCCTAAACTGTGGGCGAACGCTAACGAAATTGCGTCAACTTAGTGAAGCTGATCTAAGTCATCTTTGAGAGACCATAGACACATTTGAGCAAGCATACAGAGCAGCGGACTTAGAGGTGGATTATACGCAACTGCACATGACACGTTAACCGCATGACGGGAAGTTCTGTGATCTGTCGGAATAAAATCCGTCTAAGCCGCACTAATTACTAAAAAAAGGCAACTGAGGTGACTGGCCCAGTTCGGTGAGACGAACCCGCTAACCAACGGCCTCATTAGTTGAAGCACATACCAGGGGTTCAATTAGCAAGCTCAATTAAGAACTGCTCAAATATGGAGACAAGTCAATATATGTTGCTGGAAGTGGGAGTCAACTTCACCGGCTTCATAACAGTACCTTTAGTTCCACAAAATCACTGAATATCCTATGCCAATTAAAGATGGAGCCGCACTAAGATAGCACAGACCGCGAACGTATCAGGCCTGGGCAACTGCTCACTACCAAGTTGCGTGAACCGCAGGGTGTTCGGAAGGAATGACGAAGCCGCAGATGCACACAGTCGATAATATGAGGGTCGACACAAGATTAAGTTATACATACAAAAACCAGGTGTCCCGGAGTTACTAAAAACGGTAGTTTGAAAAATCATACTAAGACAACGCACATCAATAGTGTAGCTTTGGCCCAGGAGCTCCTGATCACTTACAAAGAAGGTAGTACACAGCACCATGGAAGTCAAAGCTGAAGTCAGGCATGGTTCGAGGAGTGTCCGGCTAGTTGTCCCACCATGTGCTGCCCGTTAGAAACAAAAAATCGGTCAACAATGAAAGCTGGTTCGTTCGCCGTTCACCGTACCTTCCGAGTGCGGTGCGTCAAGCCAATGATAGCCTAAGAGTGACACTATCCAACCAAGAATGGGTGTGCACAGCTGTGGCTGAATGTTAGTACATAACCTTGAGCTATCATCTAACCGTGTTGGCCAACTGACCACTTTACTGAACGCTTGTCACTGCTTGGTTGGGCCAAACAGCAGATACCTCAAAATAATGAAAATTGGTACGCACCAAGAGTTCCGACACCCGCTCCAATTCGTTGTTCTGATCAAGTTTGGTTTCTCATCGTGCCGTCCTATGCTCACTTCACAAGGACACTTGAAACTAACAAATTGGAAATTGGTCACATCCTTTGAAGAACTATCAGCGTCAAAATTTAAAATCCATTGAAAGCGACAAATGTTAGGAACAGACGCGTTTATAACAGTTTGAATTGAAGCAAAAAAACGACCAGAGGAAAAGAATGCTAATCGCCAGAGCGGGGCCTATAGTCAGAGGGGTATGAAAGAAATTGCGAAACATTTGGGTGCAGACGGTGCTACATGCCTTTAAGGATGGAGACCGCACTATGCCTGATTGGAGACTGCTATGTATGACTGCTAATGGCGTCAATGGCGTTCTTGTGGTCAGTTCCGACTCACTGCGCTTGAATGTATCTGGAGGTGCAGGAATCTCGGAATGATTGTGGTAAGCTAGCACTATATCCCTTCACTGTCCACCTTTCTTCTTCACAATAAAGCTTTCAGATAAATGACCGTATGGCAGCGAATCATCAGCGTAGAATACTGATGTTATGCTGTCAACGACTATGATGACTGATGAGGCTCAAATCTGGATCTAACCACTCGAACTCCTTCATCATCGACATCAACCCTTATGCGTCATATGACGATGGGGAATGTCCTAGTAAACAGTCGAATGAAAAGAGATTTAGTGGGAATGACCGCAGTCAACAGCGTGACCACACAAGGAAACAGCAACGAGAGAAATACATCTGAGCATTATATCAGAGTAAGACAGTCGAAATGGACCCAACGCCTTTTGTGAGCCCTGAGTATAAGGTTTTCGTCGTCACTGATTCGTCAGCTTAGCGCTCGTGAACATCAGGCGGGATTTCCACAGGGTAGAGGCTGCGCCGACCGGAGTAATCCACTGATTTCCTGCGGCAGTGTGTGCGTTTGCTGATTCGCCTTTTGTAACCAAAGAGCTGAAATAGCCGACTGGGCTTCAATTGAGTGATTCAACTGCCTTTGAAACTGGTTGCCCATCAAATACGAGATGTTACAAGTCGTACTACTTATTGTGCCATAAAATTTATTCCAGTACTATGGTTAAAAAACGCGAACCATTCCTTGTTACTGATTTCCTGCGGCAGTGTGTGCGTTTGCTGATTCGCCTTTTGTAACCAAAGAGCTGAAATAGCCGACTGGGCTTCAATTGAGTGATTCAACTGCCTTTGAAACTGGTTGCCCATCAAATACGAGATGTTACAAGTCGTACTACTTATTGTGCCATAAAATTTATTCCAGTACTATGGTTAAAAAACGCGAACCAGTTCCTTGTTAGCAAGGAGCAGTTAGGAGTTGGTGATGGGATCCGAAGAGAAACTTGGTACTTAAGGGCGCCCGCGTCATGTCTGCACAGGTCTGAACGCCAGGATTACTGTACCGAGACCAGAGTTATTCCTCAGTTCACCTGATATCAAACAAAGCTAGCAGACGGACAACGGTGCAAGAAACTTACGCAAGAAAGATATCGTTGTTACTGAGGATCCCCCTGTTCAGAAGCTGCAAGCACATAATTCCCGCCGCGTTTCTTGTTTGAGATTTTTCGTCCATCAACTGCTCCAGCACACCGTGTAGTAAGGCTGACCGTTCGTCCGGTTTACAATCTTCAAAAACGGTGTACTGTAAGACAAACAATACTCAGTAACAGTGGGAAATAGCTACAATAAACAAAAGACAACCAAAAAGTTCGTACTTACCATGCTGTCTTCGTTCGCTTTCAGCATCGTCAAGACTGTTCGTGCGCAACCTAGGTTTCGCTTGAGAACCGACTCATAATCTTCCTTTGGCCTCACTGTTTGTGCGAAGGATACGCCTGGCTGACGGAACGAATGACCAGCAGGAGGTCGGGAAGTTCCCTCTCTACAAAGAAAGCATTTAGTGTGGAGATTAAACGATGACTGAACTGGAGGACATGAGTGCTATGAAATCTTCGCTACCAGACTGCACTCGTGGGAGGCACAAAGGCTGATACTCCTAGACAGCAGCAGTCGAGATGCGGGGGTGGGTTCCAACCACGGATCAATATTTTTCTCGCATCAATCAGAGCTACCTCGTGAAAATAATGAAGGGACTAAGTCTAATGCACAACTTTAACTCAATGTAATCAACTCATGTCACCGTATTGAGCAGCAAAAGGACAATAAAGGTGAGTCAATTCTATTGCTAGCGGTTTTCAGTATGGTACATGCGCAGTAATTGGACAATCGCTACTAGAAAAACCCATTATAAGATGATTGCAATGTTACAATTTCCGTGTGGTTCCAGGTGAGAAAGCGTGTTCACTTTGCGATTTGCTAGTTCTCAGGTAATGCTTTGTACAATTAGAATCAAAAGTGAGGAGTGAAGACGGATGGTGTCAGCAGCTAGACTGCTCCGAAACTCAATCTATGTTATGAATAGTCACTAGAATGAATCCACTAAAGGCACAGTATCACAAACGCGTAAGTCATTAAGGTACACCGACAATTAGTAGAAATCCTTTGTGGATTCACCATTGAAAGTCCCACAAGACCTGCACAGACTTTGCTGACCTGGGTACAGTTTTGGTATCAAAGACAGAAGACGATAAAATTTTGTTTGTTTCATCTTCATATTTCCGTATGTTGCGTATCCCCTCCGCTGTCCACAGCCATGAGCTACATCCATAAGTTCTCCTACCCTTTCATACATCGCAGATGAACCCGGTGCCAACAAAGTCTATGGTAACAGTTAGTTTCTATTCCCTTGTCCACCAGGTTGTGCTCCTTCATCGCACATCGAACCACGCTCAGCACGTCACCCGTAAATGAAAACCTATTCACAAACTGTACTTAAATGCTTCAATTCAGGGTCACGCTTATATTCCGATGCTGACACGTCGCCACCAGACGCAATTTCAAATATACCCAGCCGGTCATGGTCTACGTGGGAAACATGTTTCGCATCTGCAGAGCCTTATACCAGAATAGTGCAGCATCAAGGCGTCTCCACGGTCATTCCAAGATGCCTGACTTCCATCCCGAAACCAACGAACGCGCTGAGAAGGTAGCTGACGGAGGACTGCACTTCAAGGACATATCCAGACAGAAGGCTGCAATGGATTGGCAGTTTCTTACAAAAATCGAAGTGTAATTTTCATTGAATTATAAATAGCGCAAACCAAACGTCGAGGTGGCTGTAAGTAAAAGACGAATGCTGTACTGGATTCAGCTGAGCGATAGATCCAGCGTGCTAGGCTAAATAGGGTTGACCATACTACACATGTAATTACATTTGGTGCCTAGTTAGCAGGTGCGGTTGTACGGCAACTAAGCATCAGTGTTGAACACCGACGATATGCTACCGATATGCATTTGGGAGCGGTGCAAAGCAGTGAGCAACAGGACTCGTTAAAGATAACGATTGCTTTGGTAGCGCAGATGCGGCGCACAAAACATTGATAGTAGGTCCGTCTACCTCTAGTTTCCCNGCAACTAAGCATCAGTGTTGAACACCGACGATATGCTACCGATGATGCATTTGGAGCGGTTCAAAGCAGTGAGCAACAGGACTCGTTAAAGATAACGATTGTTTTGGTAGCGCGGATGCGGCGCACAAAACATTGATAGTAGGTCCGCCTACCTCTAGTTTCCCCATGGTTGAAGCAACGTAATGATCCATCACGCCGTTGGTTACAAGGAAGCTACTGCTCTTGCACACAAAAGCAGCTTGTACCGGAGTAATTCTTATATGTATTTTCCAGAAGCTTCTCTTCGGTAGAAAGCAGGGCCGCGGAAAAACTCTTGAGCCTGACATCCAACAAGGATTTCATGAAAAATTTGCTGTTTCTTCGTGTGGTGCCTTACACATCGTCGCACAAGGCAGCTTCAGCAGGCAACTCTTACTGTCGTTGGGGTAGTGTCACTCAGACTGTAGCCACCGGATGGGTTGCACTGGCTCTGATCCAAGTGTCGTAATATCCTCAGGGTACTCGAATGCCACATGGTAATTTCCTGGGAGACTGTGAAACTTTCTATATTGCCAAAAACAACACGGAATATTTTCAACAATTTTGAGGAATACTCCACTATGGTGCGGCCACACCTCGCATGCAAATATATCAGCAACGTTGTCATTACTATGCTTCGTTGAAATTACGAGGCCATCAGTCACATTAAACGATATTGAAATGGCTGTCAATGACTTCAATAGTGACATTCGACGTGGTGCGAGGTCAGTTTGGCGGTTCGATGGGACCACGACCACAGTTCTCCTCGTGCTGAGAGATCGAAGGTAACTAAGAATAGACCGATGTACCATTTTGAAAAACGGTATCGTCGTTAAATGTGGGTAGCCTCTAAAGAATGAATTTGACGAGGCCCTTGCAGCGCTCAAAATCTCAAGCGAACACCTTCTAGGCAGGCATATTTTGGTTCTGGATACCACCCTCGATTTTCTTATGTCCAGAGAGGCGAGGGACTCAATCAACTAGAAACGTTGACTATCTCGTCATTCTAATCATCATCAGCAGCATGCTTTTCGTGATGGTTCGCTGTCATAATTCGAGTGGAGAAGTGGTAAATCATTTGAAAGAGAAAAAGTGATGGCATCAGCAGTAGCCAGTTTTCGATGTATGCAACAAGTATGCCGATGAGGCTGACGGTGCCAGATGACTGCCAACGGGGTAAGAGTTTATTTGTGTGAAGCATGCCCACGGCACCTACATCTATGCGGGAAGACGACTAAGGTCATCAAACAATGCCTTTAGCTCTTAAGCCTGACAGCAAGGCAGCGCGAAATACAAGTGCATTTCAGACGTCTAACCATTGACCCATATGGTATCACAGATTACGCAAGTGTCCTACAGACACCATCGATATAGCTCGATGCCAGGCGGAGGTAAACAAACTATCAACCCACGGTAAGGCACAATCTCGTCGTCACGGCGGCATCTTGTTACATCCATTTCAAGCCAGTAAAGGTCTTTGATAAGTTTATGTCCACCGACACATAGTTGTTGAGGTTTTGACTTTTTGACCAGTGATTTCAGCTGTTCGGTTGTTGAAGCAAGAGTTTCCATCACTCGTGGTCATATGAGAGGTGTCTGTGCGCCTACACAGACCATGGGCATTCTGGTGAGTTATACACTCTTTTCTATATGCCTCCCGCAGGAATTTTGTTTGAAGACGGATCGATTGATCCTGGTTCGAGTGTGGACCGTCTGGCCTAAGTAGCGTGTGCATACGCCAAGGCAGGTTGGTTCACCTTTCTCTCTGTGTTAGGAGGACTGTCTCTTAACAAACATATTCGGATTGTTGACTATAACCTACGTTTCAATGCCCAACATTTCCTTCTCTCTTTTTCAGCCTTTCATTGGACTGCTTTGTTCCATTCCATTCTTGATTCTTTAGAATCTCAATATTGGCTTTTCAGTTGCTGCAGCACAATTTCCTCAGGACTATTTATCTTCTCAACTCTGTGTGTAACTGACAAGGTTGATTGACTGATCAATAGAGGACATACCACTGGCGACGGGAACCCTTCACGAAACCAAGAATGTCAATTTCAGTTGAGGAGTTGAAAGCAATCCTTCAACGACAAGCGCAAGTTGAACAATCGCAATTGCGACTTATCCAGTCTCTCACTTCAATCATCATTCTCTAAACTTCAGTTTCATCTCAAACTGGTAGTTCACTACCCTTTGCGGATTCCATTGCTGCAACTATAACTGAATTCCACTGTGAGCCAGCATCTGGTCTCACCGCTGATTCGTGGTACAGCCCGACCTAAAGCTGCCACCTTGACATGGTGGTCGGGCTTGAGTGCTGCAATGATCCCGCGGGCTACACTGGCTGGAACTTCGTTCCACAAGGTACAACCATGCCAGGAAGACCAAAGTGGAGCAGACAGACCAACAGCAGCGTTCACCGATGTTTTTTTCGGGAGTGGGGATAGGTACAGTGGGCTGTCAAGTGGGGGAAGGGGTTGGAAAAGGAGCTATGCATTGAAGGCAATAGCTTGGATGCACGAGCGCCATTGAGGGCGCGACTGGGCCATATCTGACAATGTCTCTAGCCATTGATATGGGCCGTCTCAGGGTACCCATCCAGGAAGACGGCAGTGACCAACGCAGCTGAGTTTGCTGGTAATTGCTTTCATACTTCGTTGCCAAGTTATTGTTTGACCGCCTCTGGCTCTCTTCCACCCTTCACGTGGTTGTGCGAAAAGAGCCCTTCGAGGAAGTCGGTCGACTGGCATACGCAACACGTGGCCAAGCCAGCGCAACCTATGCAGTGTGATCAGTTCATCTATCGAGGGTGAGTTATTTCTCCCGAATACCATTCGACGTACTTCAGAATTGCTGATCCGGTGTTCCCACCAGATTCGGGCAATGCTCCGAAGACATCGATGGTCAAACACTGAAAGTCTTTTGACGTCCTCGGCGCGCAGCGGCCAGGTTTCTGATCCATATAGTAATATGGAGCGCACCGCAGCATTGTAAACTCGACCCTTGACAGAGAAGCTGATGTCACGCCTACGCCACAGGTGGCGTAGGTTCGCAGAAGCTGCTCTGGCCTTCCCAATCCGGATGGAAATTTCATCTTTCGTGAGACCACCGGGACTGATACAGCTGCCCAGGTAAACAAATTTGTCTACCACCTCAATCGGTTCATCCGCAAGCATGAGGCTAGGGTTCGAGCCCACCCAATCTTGCAGTAGCACTTTACACTCTGCAGGTGTGAAGCGCATGCCGAACCGCGACGTAGAATTGTTCAGATTATTTAATATTGTTTGCATTACAACGGGATCAGATCCCAGAAGAGCTATGTCGTCTGCGTACTCGATATTTGTTATTGAAGAGGAAAGGTGAAAGAGGACAGCCTTGTCGGACACCACTGGATGTGGTGAACTCAGGAGAGCTTCCCGTAGACCTTTACACGGCCGCGGGAGTTGGCGTACAGCGCCGTAAAAAGGGTCAAGATAGAAAGGTGTTATTTTGTTTAATGTTTGCGGGCAGCGGGGAGCCTAAGGCCTTTCGGTCAGATGGCTGACAGTCGAACACGACCGGTTCACTAACTTTATCCTTCCACAACAGACGGTGGAACAACATCGCGAAATTTTTGGTGACCAACATTCACTCTTTAATGTCCGATACAACTCTCAAGTTGGCCAAGCGTGATGCCGACGATTACGTTACTTTTGCTTTACTTACGTTACTTTTACGTTACGATTGCTATCCAAACTTGAGCACGAAAAAGACATTACTGTGAAAGACCTCACCACAGAATGCCAGCGCTTGCGCAATCTCAAGCGTGATACCGCAATAGTACAGCAATAGTCGCGATCGCCTACTTCCAGCAGTGTTATGACATTGAAGCGAACCACCGTCACTCCTGGGGAAAAGCCACCAACATGATGTTGGTCATGTGGTGAATGGCATTATGCACGTTTTTGTCCATTCAAGAAACGTCAGTGTCAAGCACGCCATCGATGGGGCCATAAAGAAGGCTTTTGATGTACCCACAATGCCAAGTCACCATTAACCCCTAAGGACGATAACAGTCCGATGAGAGACTCAACCAAAAGGCGTGCGTACAAACAACGAACACAATCCAGTTCTGTGTTTGCTACGTTTCAAGTTGAATTTGAATCCCGCAGGAAATACATAAGTTTCCATCAACAATTTCCCGATCCGTTTGCAGCTTGACACAGCTTCGGATGTTACATTGATCTCGCGTTCAGTTTGGGAATCAATTGGGAAACCTGTTTTGTCATCCACGAACCATCGGGCCAAAAGTACCTTTAAAATTAACTGGCAAATTGTCTTGTGATGTTATTCAACAATGTGCACTTCTCAGGAACATCTCATTGATTGTCCGAAATTAAACATACTCGGACTCGATGGGATCGTGAAACATTTCACAAACACTCACGACTAGATTCGCTGGTGTTTTCAAAGAGGGCCTTGGACGCTGTACTAAACACAAAGCTACTCTCAAGCTTTTGTCCGATACTAAACTAGTGTTAAGACCAAAACGTCCCGTTCCGTTTGCCTCTCACGACCGTGGAGGATGAACTTGTTCGTCTCCAACAGCTCGGGGTTATCCAGCCAGTGAATTATCCGTCTTGGGCTGCTCCTATTGTTGTCGTCAAAAAGGCAAATGGCAAAGTACGCGTATGTGCTGATTATTCAGCTGGACTCAATGCCATACTTGATTCCCATCAATATCCATTTCCTCTTCCGGAAGATTTGTTCACCAAGTTCAATGGTGGTAAACGCTTTGCTAAACTTGATCTTGCTGATGCTTACCTTCAAATCGAAGTTGATGAACGCTCCAAAGAAATCTTGACCATTAATACGCATCGTGATTTATTTCAGTTCAATCGCTTACCTTTTGGCGTGAAACCTGCACCAGCTATATTCCAGCAAATAATGGATACCATGCTCAATGATTCTCCCGGAGTTGCTGCATACTAACATGACATCATCATCGCTCGTGCCAATCAAGACGAACTGCTACATTGATTACATTGCGTGCTGGAGCAAATTCAACAATATGGTTTTCGCCTCCGTGCTGAAAAGTGTGAATTTTTCCTCACCTCCATTAAATACCTGGGGTTTATCTTTGACGAAAATGGTCGTCGTCCGAACCTAGAAAACATCTCTGCCATACTTCAAATGCCAGCACCGACGTATCTAACAAATCTAAGTTTGTTCCTTGGCTTGGTCAGCCATTATAGCATTTTTCTACCAGACATGCATTGTGTACGCCACCCACTAAATCAACTTCTACAAAAAGATGTTCCATGGAACTGGTCACACGATTGCCAATCTGCGTTTGATAACATGAGTCACAACTTAGCTCTAACTTGCTTCTCACACATTACAATCCAGCTCTGGACATTACTGTGGTTTCAGACGCACCCAATTATGGTAATGGAGCAGTTATCTCTCATGTGTTCCCTGATGGAAGTGAAAAAGCAATAGCCCATGCAGCCAGATCCCTGACAGTTACCGAACGCAATTATGGACAAATTGGAAAAGAAGCTTCAGCTATAATTTTTGCCATCAAGAAGTTCCACAAAATGCCATATGGTCATTTCACGCTCATCACCAACCATAAGCCACTCCTCGGTATTTTCGGATCAAAGAAAGGTATCCCTGTGTACAAAGCAAATCGCTTGCAACGCTGGGCAACAATGCTCTTGGGTTACGACTTCTCCATCAAATACCAATCAACTGATGCGATGGGCCAAGCTGACGCATTATCAAGGTTAATGGATTCTCAGCGTCCACAACCCGAAGATGCGGTTATCGCATCAATAACAGCGGAACCGGAAGTAAATACTGTGCTTACTGCAGCGATCCGCGCTCTACCAGTCGCTTCTGCTATGGTTCGCGACGCCACTTTTTGTGATCCACACTGGCCTCTAGTATGCCCAGATAAACAGATTCAACCGCTCTATCAACGCCGATCGTCGCTCTCTGAGGTCGATGGTTGTCTGTTGTTTTCAGAACGCGTGGTTGTGCCTTCAGAACTCCCAAACAGTGTTCTCAAACAGTTTCATTTTGGACATCCCGGTAACAACCGTATAAAAGCATTGACCCGTAGTTATATGTACTGGCCAGGCATGGATAAACAGTTGGAAGTTGTTCGGAAGTGCTCAAAATGCCAACTCTGCGCAAAAGCACCTCGCTAAACAGAATTGTACTCATGGCCAACTCCGGAGTCTCCATGGTCGCGACTTTACATTGATTTCGCTGGACCCATCAATGGACAGCACTATCTGATATTGGTCTATGCCTACAGTAAATGGCCAGAAGTATTCAGCCTGACCCATGTTACTGCTTGTACTACTATTGCCAAACTACAGAATGTGTTCAGTCGCTTCGGAGTGCCGGATACTATTGTCTCTGACAATGGAAGCGCATTTGCCTCGGCCGAATTCGAACATTTCTGCAAACAGAACAGCATCACACATGTTAGATCACCACCGTTCCATCCATAATCAAATGGTCAAGTGGAACGATTCGTGGATACTTTCAAAAGAGCACTCGCCAGACTCAAAAGAGAGGGACCACACCGGAAATAATCGAACAGAGCGACACCAAACATCACCGCTCCAAACGGTCCCCCCCCCCCGCTGAGGTTCTATTCAACCGGAAAATCCGCTTACCCATCGACGTCATTCGTCCAAGCTAGCGTCCACCAACAGCGAGAAACCAGTTTATCCGGCATCACGGTGCTGTGGTTAGTATATTTGTACCCGGACAATCTGTCCTAGCTAAGGACTATCGTAGTGGTGTGGAAAAGTGGACACAAGGTAAAATTGTGTGCAGTGTTGGAAAGGTTATTTACGAGGTGGACGTGGATTCCTTCACCTGGGTCCGTCACGCAAATCGGCTACGCCCTTCCTCTCTGCCAACAATTCCACGGTTTCGCATAACTCTCATCTTCCGCTCGAGATTTTCATGGATACGTTTGAGTTACCGCAAAACCCCGTAATCCCCCAAGCCTGCTGTACAGTCTGAAATTTCGATAAGTTGCACACCCAGAAGATGGACCGACCGGATCAAAAGCCTGTCATGCGAATGCAAATGAACCCACGACTCCAGTCGTATGAACAATGACTTCAAAGGAAAGGTGTTAGGAGGACTGCCTCTAAACAAACATATTCGCATTGTTGACTATAACCTACGTTTCAATGCCCAACAGTTCCCTCTTCTATTTCAGCCTTTCATTGGACTGCTTTGTTCCATTCCATTCTTGATTCTTTAGAATCTCGATATTGGCTGTTCAGTTGCTGCAGTACAATTTTCTCTGGACTATTTATCTTCTCAACTCTGTGTGTAACTGACAAGGTTGATTGATCAGTAGAGGACATAACACTCTCTCAAGTGAACTCGATGTCCATTAAGCCTCATTTTACCCGAACACACCTTTGAGGCGAACTACTTTGGCGACATACCAATCAAATGTCTTTTTTCATTTAATTGGATTGCGGGAAAGCCAGGCCTTTTTTACTCTCAGTGGTCGTCCAGCTGTAGCAACCTTTCGAAGCCCTGCTGTCATGCCACCCGAGGAAAACACGAGGGTTGATACTACCAGGCTGTTCAAGTGAAGACGGGAGCATTCGAGATACCGAGGTTGGATTCGAACTACGGATTTTCCCGTCAGTAAGTTCGCGCGTTAACTACAGAGTGATCTCGCCCCAAATTGGGAAGACCAGGCTAAATTCTCCCAACTTCCGACATCTGTCGCACCGACGTGACATCAGCTTGATTGTTGGGGGTAGGTGTACGGTGCCGCGGCCCGATCTGTCCTATCTCATCAATCAGAGATGTGGCTGGTGCGTGCGGAAGATCTTTGGATACTGTGTTCGACTATCGGTGCCTTTCAGGCACTGCGCAGGTCTGGCAGAAACATCGACTAAGTAATGCTGCGGTGGGTCAGATGGTTTTGGGGAAAGCTCACTCCCCTTCGACAGACCAACTAGTCACAATCCATAAGTTACGGGATGGTATTTACTCTCGGATCTGCCATGAGCATTCGCGGTTAGTTGCATGCCCCTACAGACCATGTATATCATCAGTCACCCTGTTGACATGAATATTCGTTGGTTCTCAAAGCTCTTCATGGTTTAATGGTAAATCACTCACTCAATTTAGCTTAGTGTCTGAATGAA